GGGAAAGAATTATAAAGGTGCATATGCCAGGTTGACAGAGTTCAAAGGTGTGCAGGCTTATGGCATTGTGGGGTTGAATTTCGCTGATGATATAACCATAAAGGTGTGATCTTTTATGTCTAAACCTTCGTTTTGGAAAAGGGTTTGGTATGGTTAATGACAGTGGTTTCAGCGTACTATTCTATCCTGTAACCTGAAAGTACTAATAAAAACTTGAGTTTAGGACGGTCTCAAGAAGATTGAAGCAGTTGGAAGGCGGAATCAGAGGAAGAAGGAGATGGAAGGAAGGGGGTTTTCTGGGCTATATAAGAACACAAGTGAAGAGTTGTTTCTGAAGACAGTGATGGAAAGTCCTCTTGGAATGCCAGCACCAACCATGGAGATGTTGGGTTTCAAGGCCGTTTCTCAAAGTTTTCGCACGGACAGTGAGGAGCTCTTCAAACGCTGGCTAACAAATGGAGAGGCAAGCCTATTATTCTAGATCATATCGCAGCTTTTGCTTTCAAGTTCTCAGAATTCCTGAGTTTTCTTTCTCTGATTTCTACATATTCAACCCCACATGCTAGTTGACCTTCTAGCATTTGATTCTTGGACTAAAACAGTAGCGTTTGGATTTTTATTCAGAACCCTCTAGTTTTCAAGATAAAATTATTCTATGTAGCCCAGATATCCTTGAAGTTCATGTGTTTTAAACTGCGCATGCTAGTTGATTTTCAGCATTTAGTTCTTGGAATTTTTGTTCAGAATATCTTCTCACTAGTTTTCAAGACAAGGATCTGATCACAAGAAGTTTCTACCCCGAACAAATCCAGTTACTCACTTGATGTATCTTTGTTTCTTCAATCAGGCTTACAATTCAACAAGCATCGGACATAATAGTCGATTATCACAGAGGTGAGTCTGTCACTGAAACACACGTTAGAAACATGTCAATTGGGTGCGTTTCATAAGAGATTTGACCATTTTATTTTTGTTCTCATGGTATAGTCTGACACTTTACCTTTCATCACATTTATACTTGATTTGTTTGTCAATTTTCCTCGTGAAGATTTCGCATTTCCTGAAGCTTCCTTCCTGGTTTCTGTCTAATCCTGATAGATCATGATTCTCTTGTAACTGCAGGATATCCACTGACCTAGCCAATTTGTCTAATCCACAACATGTTGGTGTGATTTCAGAGGAAAAAAGCAATGAAAAAGTATATACACAAGATAACCTTATGGTCGATGATGCTTCTTTTGATTGTAGTGAAACTCCGATCAGGTAATTATATGCAATATTTTCTTTCTCAGTATTGCATTCCGATTTCTTAATTATCTTTCTTGTAGCTTGCTTTGGTCTAGAAAGTAGTTTGTAATTGGGTCTGCTGTCAATTTTCATCAGAGATGCTGCTGATAGAGAGCTGCAAGCTGGTAACTTGTTTCTGGCAAAGGTTTGTTTTGTTTATATCAATACTACATCCATTTGTGAAGACTTAGAATCTTCATGTTTATTTGATCTGCTATTGTGAATTCAGGCTTGGTTCCTTAGTGATCAGCGAATGACAAGAAGCCGGTCCTCGGAATTGAGGTATCCTCATCATCTTGCATCTGTTCATCAAAATCATTTGCACAAATGCATTTTCAAATTATGCCAAGGAAAGTCTCATCATCTTGCTGTTAAAGGCTAAATTTGTTTTCTTCTGTGTTTTTCGCGTTCATACTGAATTCATGCATGATATTATGAGATATACTTGTTGTTACTGTCTCTGTGTCTCACGATTGGGAATTATATTTTATTGTTCAAGAAGAAGAAAAAGTTCTGTATCTTTATTGATATGATTTCTTCCCCCCCCCCCCCCCCCGGTAGGCGAAGGTATGTTGAAATGCAAAATGCACAAGCAACACAAGGTATGGAGCCCATACACCTGGTCCCTCGTGATGGCGTTGCTGAAACATTGAAACAAGAAGGTTCAAATGTAAATGGCTTTGGTTACCTTTCTCCTTGCGAGCTTCCAAACCAGAAGGCTACCTTCATGTCTCCATCAAACTCATCTTCATCTACCTTCAATACACCACGAATGGGTGATGCAGATAAAGTTTCAACTTGTGTGAGCATGCTAAAAGGTACATTGGAACGTAAGAGACTCAGCAATCATATAGAGAAAGAAGCTGCAGAGGATAGCTCCAATGGCATCTTTGGTGCTCAAAGTGATTTTGCCAAAACTGTTTTTATGGAAGGACAAGAAAACTGGATTTATCAGATGCAAATAAATTTCCAAGGAGCATCTAATGGTGAAGTTAAGGACCGTGGAGTTCCACAAACGCTTGAAGGATCTATGAACCTTGACATGGATAGTTTTGCAAATCAGACAAACGCAATATGTGTTGGAACAGCTTCGCGAGAACCATCTCAAAGTGAATCTTCTGCTGCTGCACCAGTAGTTTCATCTGGTTTAGATGCAATTGAAGGTCCAAGCATCTCAAGTCAAACACCATGTGAAAACACATGGAAACAAGTGGGAGTGAGTAAAAATTCAGAAAATAGAGTCAAAGGTATAAATACAATATGATGACAAAATTGCATGAAATTTCCCAATATTTTTCATTTACTTTAGCATCATTAAAATGGGACAATAGTTTTGCTTTCTCACATTGGAGCCACTTTTTGTGTCATTCTCAATAACTTTCATGTTTTCTTCTCAGCATTCAATGCCCTAGAGAAATTGAATCACTCAGACCCGATAACATTTTATTGAAAACCCACGCTCTTTCTGAATAATAACTATCATTTAGGTCAGAAAAAGAGCAGATATGTCCCTTCTTTTTTTCATTTGCAAACATTGTCCATCTAATATTATACTACAATTGTGTTTCTGTGAACTTGCAGGTTTCAGAGAACAGATAATGGATAATCTGAAAGATGATCGGAAGGTATAACCTAAACTAAGACCAATGGAACTTAAGCTCCATAATAAGGAGTGATCACGGAAATTTATGCTTTTAACAGTTTTTTCCTATGATAATGTTGCTAATCTTAATTGTGCAGAGGAGAAGTCTAGAAAGATATGGATCTGTAACATCAGCTGTATCAGGTAACGATCAATGTCCTAATACAGTTCCCATTTTCTAAGCATACACCATGACTTGGATTAACCTCATTACTTTAATTAAACTATTCTGATACTTTGGATTTTACTTTCAAAAACCTTGGATTCTCTTTCATGGTGCTGCTTGTGTGGTTAGAGATATAACAGTAAGATCAAAAGTTTCTTAACCTAGACGGACCACCCACCAAAAGCCAAAAAATCCCATCATCTTGTAATTAAAGAGTTTTTCATGAGGCTTATTAGGTTTAGATACTCCAAATGTCATATTCGCTTGTAGATGCATAACATAAACTAAAGTAAATGTTCAAACAAATTGTGCAGAGGACAAGGGGGATGCCACAAAAAAGCGGCGAGTGGAGCGATCAAGGAAGTATGTAAAATTATATATACAGACAGTCTCTCTTCTCACATAATACTGTTGAATCATGTCAGAATTAAAGATCAAAACTTTACTTCAAGAGGATCACTGTGCATTTCTCAGCTCTTTTGCCAATAACCTTGTCATGCAGAATGGCTGAGGCGAAGGAAAGGAATTCGACGCCACCAGTTCCATCAGATATGCAAGCTGTCTTGAAGCGATGTGAAAACCTTGAGAAGGAAGTTAGATCCCTTAAACTTAATCTGTCCTTCATGAACAGGTAATATAAGTCAATTACAATTAAATGACTAAGAAAGCATTGGTATTACAGAATCACATAGAGGCAATCAATTATCAATTATGAGTACAGAGAATCATGAACTAACGTTAAAGAACTGTGCTTCGAATTTTCAGGAAGGATTCTGAGCAAACAAAGCAGATCGAGGAACTTCAAAAGCAAAACGAAGAATTAGCAGATGAAAAGGAGCGCCTTTTAGAGGAAATTGAAAGGATTGTATCAGAAACCGGCAAGATTTAATATTTGGTTTCAATCCCATTAATCTTTTACCTTCCTCAGAAACAATGTGGTAGCCCAGACAGGCTGTGATAAAGGGGAAAAACAATCACCACGAAGTCAAGAGTTTTAGCGACCTGATTACCTGAGAACCTCCGGAGTCTCCGCAAAACATTTGTTTATCTCTGAATGTCACTGGCATGCCCATGTAATAGTGAAATGCTAAGTCTTAACAGTTATCAATGTTTGTGATTTTGGAAGCTCGGTCTAGAATACGATTCCAAAATTTTTTTGACAAATCTTAGCATGAAATCCTCATATATGTAAGAAAAATTATCACTGACAGAAAGACATGACACTTCGACGAAAACTAGGATATTCAAGCGGTGAACTTTGAATTTGCCATGAGTATTGTTGAACACATGTTCGACACCTGTTTCTCTTAAGTTTAAGGCAAAAAGAGGATTCTTCAGGTGTTTCTGTAAACTGCTACCTCTGGTCTTATTTATAAAAACTTGTTGACTAATTTGAGGAGATTAAGAAAAGAAGTTAAGTTAGTTATTTGTAATAAATATGTGTTATCTTTCCTAAAATATCCTTACTAATCAAGTACATTAGCTAAAACTATTATTATTAGAAGGATTATCTTAGAAAAAAAAATACATAAATATGAAAAACAAAGTGGATTAAAGTCTTATATTTACGACTAAAGCAAAAATCCACAAAATCTTGTATTAAAAACTAGAGCTAGTATTTATTAAGAAATAGGTTAAAAAATTTTAAAAAAACACATGTTTGAATACCAAAGTATTGTGTTTTTCTTTTGAAAAAATTGATGAGAAAGGTAATAAACAAAATTTTGTCATTTAAATTTTCATTGCGAAGTGCTAAAAGCCACGTGAAGTAGTGGGAATTGGATAATCACCACAATGGTTGATTACTCTTGCCAAAAAGAAGGCAAGGTGATTGAATGTAAACTGATTTAAGATCGTTATGGAAGCCATTACACAAGCAAAAATTACAGTTCAGATAGAATTTATAATGCAGTCATTATATTTCATTAATAGCTAGTACTGAACCATGACTTGATTCAATTTTATAATTCTGAGACTGTCATCTGAACTATACAAACTTCTTTCTACACAGATCGATTACAAATAAGTCTATGGAGCCACCATTAATTTATCAAACGACAATAATGCTATCAGCTGCAGCTATAATGATACAAGGTAATTAAATGAAAGGACATGGCACTTCAATAAAACAAGTGCCACAACTCATGAAATCCTGAAAACTGAATATATCCATCAGACCGAGACTCTTCCGATTTTGTAGCCGACCAAAGCACAAAACATTTGATGAGAACACCATTGACAGGTGGAGGAGATAACATGTGGCAGAAGCTCAATGCGGTGAAGAAAACAGCCGCTGTATGAACCTAAGCAAGGCTATGGAGATCAAAGAAGTTGAAAACCCAGTTACAACCCCAGCTATCATTTCCCACTTCAAAATCTTGACCCTTGCCTTGCCGGTACTCCAGGAATTCACCATCTCTATGGTCCTGATGATCCACACACAATAATCAGGAAAAAAAATTATATGATATGCTATATTCAAGCACATTCACAGAGGTCAATCAAACAACATTTCCAATAAAGTTAAGGTTAATGAATGAGATAGAGCCCAAAACACCTCTTCTTTTCTTTCAATCAGTACCATGTAAGAACTTGTCAAACGAAGAGTATGAGAAATATCATCCCTCTGGGTACAAGCTACCCAATTACAACCATCATAAAATTTATGAGAAAGAAATATATCCGGGGTAAACATGAAAAGAGGCACAGATAACTGCAACTAATAGGAAGTACCAACCATGGGTAAACAAATCATTATTTGAAGCAGGCCGAACAAAGCTTCATTTTGAGCACCAAGCCACCAATGGCTTATCCATTTCAAAATCCAAACCCCACCCCCTCAGCCCTATAAATTGGGAAAAGGGAAAAAACTGTTGTTGTCCTAATGCTTTATCAGAAACTTTTATCCACATTAGGAAGTTCTAACTATTTTTCATTTTCCATCACCAAAACATGTGTTGAGCCACACATTTAGAGGCCATTTCATTAAAATGTTAAGAAGTACAATAGCACAGAGTGATAAAGGAAAAGTTGAGAGATAACAAACACCCCCTGCTGCACAGAACAATCTAGATGCATTTTCTTCTCTAAAAAGATCACTGGTCCTACGAATCTGATTCAGCTTTTTATTTGAACAATCGACAGATGTCTTTGAATTAAAATACAAACTTTAATCCAGCGCTTATTTGTACGGAATGATACAATGTTAAGAATGTTTAGTCTCCTGTGATATCCAGAGAACAGGTAATGCAATTAATAATTAGTATGTCGAGGGTTAATAAGTACTCACAGAGTGAAATATTGTCTAATTGTGTCCATAGTCGATTTCTCATCCGCATGGCAACCGAAAATATCATGTTGATCTAATCGCACTTTGGGGACGCCAGATGTGTACCAGCAGTTATAAGTCTCATTGATCTAACCAAGGATGAAGAGAAAATTTCTTTAAAATACCAGCGCTGAAGGCCTAAACAAGTAATAATCGTTATACATGACATCATAAAGAATTTTAGACGTATTCAATGAAGCCATGTCTACAAATATATATTGACTGAGATCATAAGTTGTGACCCCAACCTTGAATTTATATTGGGTCAACCATGCAGCACCAAAATTGGGCCTGCAATAAAGAGGAAGGGCTTCATTTGGAGCCTCTGCAAATGCATACATTGTCTGACCTGAAAGGACATCTTTATATTCTACCTGACAAGGAGTTGAAAATATATTATAACGAGCTAAAGAAAACATGGATTGCCATGTACACAAACATCTGTATGGAGGGAAAAAAATGTAATTTGAACTATTAAAAGAAAAATGTGCATGGCTCTGATGAAGAAGGGACAAGTATGGGGGCACCAAAAAGAAGAAAGATTAAAATTTGCCAATACTAGGAGTAATTAAACCGATATGCTAAAATACCTTGAATATGGAAGCCCAATAATAGTCATAATAGCAGCGAAATTTGCTTCTTTGAAAGGGATGGGATATATGCTTTGCTTTATAATTCGGTAAACCAAAATTACAACTCTTGGATGACCTTATGTCAACACCTGTAAAAGAATACAATTTAGCACTAGAAAAAATAAATTCTACAAAGAACAAATCATAGTCCATTTGACTTTCAATCAAATAAAAGTCAGGATGAAAAAAATCTAACTTAAATCAATCTTCCAATTATTTGAAATAAACAATTTTAAAAGATGTAAAGGGCATGAAGCTTCATACAAACATTCTTGTTTCACAACTCTTCACTCTAAAAAAGTTGGGATTTGACAAGCCTTATAATCTAAACATGTTCACTGCGTGAAAATGTTTTCATGATCCATATCTCCAACCTTGCAGTTAGGACACCTCCAAACTTTGACTTAACTATAAAAAACTTTTCACACCAATAAAAAAATATAAATCTGACGGCCTACCAATTTTTTCTGAGTTAAGTTTCTTTTGAAACACACGGCCATTGTAAGAAAAATTCCAAACAAATGCAAATATTATAACCTTTAACGTTTTAATTTGCCCCATTCAAACCTTATCTAAGATCTAGCTATATTGCATGGAGTAGGTTTTGCAGTGCTTCTCTGGTAGGACTTTTGTTTAGATTCCACAGAGATCCCTTTTTTTTTTCACTGGGCTTGTCTATGGACATCTCCAGCTCTCCATTATTCAATTGCCTTAAAATATTTAAAACAATAATTTTAACCATATAGAAATCTTGAGGCATGACCATAGAGGGTTGAGAGGTCAAATTCTCCGCATTTAAAACCTTTAAAGGAAGAGACCAGCATCTCATTTACTACAAACTCTTGGAAGTCTTTCAGCTAACTACAAGCATCTTTCTGAGTTCTCTTCAAAGACAGAACCAGGTATATTGATTTGGCTGCCCCAAAGGTATTTCACTGGTCCAATATAAGTTCTTCTCTGGCCAATTCATTGGTCCAATATAGACTAGCATTCAGCGCAGCATGAATAGCTAGAATTGTCTAGATGGGTGCACTACAATCCGTCACTAAGCAGAAATACAATATGTAGAAATATTCAAAATTAGGAATTACTATGTCAAGATACGGAAAATAACATCCAGTAGCGTGTAAGGCTAGACCGCACGATAAAGAGCGCCCCAAAAAAAAAAAACAACGAACAAGCCCATAGGTTTGAGTTTTTGGCTCTTCCCAAGTTACTTTTCCGAGCTGGGTTCAGCAATAGAAGATTCTAATTCTCGAGCGAGGCCACGCAGAACAGTACATTCGCTGTATTTTCACGCTAATTATCAGAAAAAGAATAATAAAATACACTTCCAAAACAATTGAAGCTAGACTAGAAATTACCGGAGATTTCAACGAAGGAAGAAAAAACTCACCGCTAGATACAATCTTACACTGAGAAGGCAGGGAAATAGGGTTCGAAATTGATAAATTCGTGCTCAGCACAACTGTAAAACCAACCAAAAAGGGAAGCGATAAGAAGAATAAGATGGACAGTAGAAGACCGACAATCCACCGCAGTGTAACAATAGAGAAATTCTCCTTCTTGTGCCCTTCAGATTCCGGGACCTCCTGGGTGGAATCCATGATTTTAAGAAAGCTAAAAACTTATTGACCCACCGGCCACCGGAACCATTTATCCGGTGAGCGGAGCTTTGCACGCGGCGGTTAGAGCAATTGATCTATGCGGCTATATGCAAAGCATATTTACCAGTCTGAAGAAAGAGAAGAAGACAGTTTGACATGGATTTTTTTTTTTTGGGAAGAGTTCGATCCCCCTTCGATCAAGTCAGAGTCGCTTATATTTACTGCTCATTTATCGATAGGTTAAGGTGCGTCTAACACCTCTAACCATTTTTTCAGGTACGTCCAGTATTCTAAGATAATTTTTGATACATCCAATGTCTCAAACTAATTAAAATGATGTGTCTATATCTCAGGCTAATAGAAAAGTTAAGTTTGACCATTACCTTGCTGACTCAGTTGAAGGTTGATTGAAAAATCCTACATAGCGGACACACAGGCATCTGATGTGTATTATTTTGACTGAAAATTCAATTTATTTCCTCTTCTTCTAATGTTTATCTTCTACCAGTTTTTAAACTTTCAAAAAAGAAAGACCATCGACCCACCCTCTTAAATCCTGGTATATGTACCACCCATTCAATCTCATCCTTATCTTTAACATTTTATCCCATTTCTTCCACCACTCTGATTTGAAACCGTAATCGTTGTCATAGCACACTTCCGTCTCCGTTTCTATCAACTCCTCATCCGACTTGCATTTGCTTTCGTCATCGTAGAATACAGTAAACTGTCCCTTGGTCACTCCGTCGACGTTGCTGTCACCTCTCGAGAAAACACTGATTGCCACCGAGCTCGTCTCGGAAGGTTCAGTCAAAATAATACATATTAGACGCTTGCGTGTCCGCCATGTAGGATTTTTCGGTCAACCTTCAGCTGAGTCAGCAAGATAACGGTCAAATTTAATTTTTCTGTTAGCTTGGGATATAGACGCATCGTTTTAATTAGTTTGGGACACTGGATGTAACAAAAATTACTTCAGGACACTGGGCGCACCTGGAAAAATAGTTTGGGGTGATGTTCACACCTTAACCCGTCAAAATAATACACATCAGACGCTTGTGTGTCCGTCATGTAGGATTTTTCGGTCAACCTTCGGCTAAGTCAGCAAAGTAACGGTCAAACTTAACTTTTCTATTAGATTGGGATATGGGCACACTGTTTTGATTAGTTTGGGATACTAGATACATCAAAAATTACTTTAGGACAATAGGTGCACCTAGGAAAATAGTTTGGGGTGCTGGGCGCACCTTAACCCGTCAAAATAATACACATTAAATGCCTACGTGTCCGCCATGCAGGATTTTTGGTCAACCTTCGGCTGAATCAGCAAAGTAATGGTCAAATTTAACTTTTCTATTAGTTTAAGATATGAGCGCACTGTTTTAATTAGTTTGAGATACTGGATACGTCAAAAATTACTTTAGGACAATGGGCGTACCTGGAAAAATAGTTCGGGTTCAGGTTAAAAAATCCTAAATTTTTCTTTCATTGGAATTTTTTTTTGGACCTTGTCTTTCATTTGAATTGACTCGTGTATTAAAAAAAAAAGCATGCTTTTCATCAATCATATGGAGCTAAAAAAAATTTTTATTCATACATAAGCAAGACCAGGCATTTTAACTAAATGAAGGGGAAGTATTTTTAATCTTCTAATGGAAACTAAATGAGCATGTTTTTCAATTGGCAAAATTTTAATCTTTTAACTTTACATATTTTTTTTATATTTTGATGCTTTAATTTTATAAAATGTATTTAAAGGATCAAATATACGCCAATAATTAAGGGACCAGACAGTCCGACCTCGGTTATACTTGTTAATGGTTTAGTTTGGACAAAAACAAAACCACTTACATAGTTGAGCCAAATTAGACTAGAGTTGAACTGTCACCGACTAGAATCTGGAATTGGATTGAGAACTAAAACGGCTTTCAGAAAACTGAGAGTTTTTTAGCCTAACTGAAAAAATGCTTAAAAATTTAAAAAAATTATATGAAAATATAAAAAATTGACCCCCTTCAAAAATCTTAATAGTTTTTTAGACTATTTGTTATCATATAGTATTATTTTATTGAAAACTTCATATAATGTGATACTAAAACCATGAGCTATTGGACTTTTTGCTTCAACGTCTGGTCTAACTTTTTAAACAATATTTTAACCATAATGAATTAATAATTTTTAATATTATTAAATATTTTAAGCATAAATAAATTTAAATATATACTATCTCCGATCCTAAATATATGAGTTAATTAACTAATTTTGAGTAAATTAAGAAAATAAGTTAAGCTAGTTATTTGTAATAAATATATATATTTTATTTCCTAAAATAACCCTAATAATCAAGTTTATGAGTTAGAACTATTATTACTAGAAAAACTATTTTGAAAAAAAATGAATAAATATGAGAGACAGAGTAAATTGAGATCTTACATTTAGAATTAAAATAAAAATTACACAAGATCTTATATTAAAACACTGAAGCAGTAAAGTTTTAGCACATTTTCAATTATTTGTGAGTTATGAGTATATCATTATACTAGCTTGTCAAGTCAACATAATTTTAGATTATCTAAATGTATTTCTAAATTATTTATTAATTTGATAATTTTCATATAAATATATTAATTATATATAATATTATTTTTAATTAATTATTATGTCACCAATTTAATCAAACGTCTAATCGTTTTGAGTCATGACTCGTGAAACTTTCAACTTAACTTCTAGTCCAGCTAAAAACATTAATATACACTCGCCTTTATTTTTTTTCAATTCGACCACCCCCCCCCAAGTACTTTTTTTTTTTGGCCAATAACAACCGCACAGCTTACTGGCCTTCCAACGTGGTTCCAACAAAGATGTTTGTAGCGAGTCCTTTTAAGCCATACAGTCGCTCTGAGAGATAGTGCAATTAATCACCCACTGAAATAGTACCCAATGGAGACAATAAATTTGATACGAAATGGGAAGTGGAGAGACCAAATCTTATTTTGATTGGGACTTTGAAATGAGACATCACTATGACATTATATTATGAGTCACTTGTAACTTTTTTTCTCATATTAAAATGTGCATTGTTGGCAAAATATAAAATCAAGAGTGCATTAAATCAATAAAGGCTTTCCAAATTCATCCTTATTAAAAACTTTTTTTCCTTCTCTATATTTACAAATCATTAAATAACAATAAGGTTGAAAAATAATTGTTAAACATCTTATAAATAACTTATACTACTCCCGTTCTTAATATAAATCACTTGTAACGAATTCTTGTATATCAATAAATACATTAAATTTGACATTTTTTTGTAAATTTCACTCTTATTAAAATTTTTCTCTTTATATTTATAAATCGCTTTTGTATCTCTCCCTTCTTTCTCTATTTTCAACATTAGAAAGCAAACATTTACGAGGTGTTTGACGACATGATGAAACCATGGTTTGGATTCCAAATTTGCCAAACAGTGAGGAAAATTAACAAACTGTAATTTTGGGCCAAAACCATAGTTTCAGAAAAAGTGAATCCATTCTGTTTCTAGCTTAAATTAGAGAGTATGATTATGCCTGTCAAAGTAGATCTCAACGATAATATGATTTTAACACTCATCAATTAATTTTTTATAAACATATTTAATCTCCTATTTTATAAATATATACACATATTAATTATTTATTAATTCCATTATCTTATATATTATTAATTATGTTGGTAAAAAATATATTATTAATAATTTTATTCCTTCAAATTAAAATACATTATAGAATCTATTTTTATGTAATTATCATACTAACTTATACTACCTCCGGTCATTAATATAATATCCTGTTGACTTTTATGTTGGTCTTAAATATAAGATCTCAATACATTTTGTCTCTTATATTTACTCTTTTTTTTCTAAAATAGTCCTTCTAATAATTATAGTTTTAACCAACATACTTGATTAGTAAGGATATTTTAGGAAAGACAACATCTATTTATTACAAATAATTAACTTAACTTTTTTTCTTAATTTTCTCAAATTAGCCAACTGACTCTTATAGTTAGGACCGGAGGTAGTACCTTTTTTAGTAATTTGCACGTATAAAAAGTACTTTTGATAACAATAATTCAAATATTCTCACTTTATCAAGATTATTTTTTCATAAAATTTATTCTTTCAAGAATCTATTCTCCAAAAGCTATTTTTCAAATCATATTTTAGGGTGTGTTTGGGTGACACCCCAAACCATGGTTTGGGAAATAAATCACCCCAACACCCACCCAAAAACGAAAACCATGGTTTTGGAAAAAGCAAAAATTTTTTGCTTTTGGAGAAAAAAGGGAGAGTGTGAGAGCCTATAGGATATGTATCTTGTTATTTTTTTTATAAACATATTTTTTTATAAACATATTTAATCTTATATTTTATAAATATATATACATATTAATTATTTATTAATTATATTATCTTATGTATTATTAATTATGTTGGTAAAAAATATATTATTAACAATTTTATTCCTTCAAATTAAAATATATCATAAAATTTATTTTTTCTGTAATTATCATATTAACTTATGTCTTTTTTTTAATAATTTGTATATATAAAAAGTGCTTCTGATAACAACTATCCAAACACTCTCACTTCTCAGAATCACTTTTTTACAAAATCTATTCTTCACAGAATCTATTCTCTAGAATCACTTTTCCAAACCACAGTTTGGTTTCGTCCAAACACACCCTTAGTTTCATCCAAGTATCTCCTTAAATATTTTGGGGCAGAGCGTCATGAAGGACCAAAAATTGGTACGGACTATGGAAGGAAGCCCTTCAACGAGTGGATAGATATCCGAGCGAAAGACGCCCACCAGTGAGGTGGCGTTCAGTACGGTGGAATTGGGGGGAAAGAAATGGAAATGAAAATGAATGTACGTTTGGTACACCAAAGCTCCATGGAATTGGCTTCCATCTTACAACCCCAAGATTTGCATTTCCATGTTCGAAAGTTTATTTTTGCCCTCCCACATCCACCACCACCGAGAAGCTTCATACCTATCGCTAGCACACTTCACATCCTACCTCTGGCAATCAACCCAGTGAATGGCGACTCTGATGACCAACGACGGCGACTCCGGTGAC